AATTAATTATTAATTATATATTAATAAAATCTCTAGATTTTCAGCTTTATTTTGATATATTTTTTATTAATTTCTATACAGTAGTTTTTGAATAATAAATAAATAAAAAATTCCAAAAAGTTTTGTTACACACTGTATATATATATACAAATTTATCTATTAAGATAATTTTAATAATTTTTTATTAACAATTTTTCTAATAAATTTAAATTAATTAATTTAAAACAACTAAATTTTTAAAGATTTAAGAATATTTGATGATACATTTAAAAGAGTTTATCAAGTAAACTTATTCTTTATGTTTTCAAATATATATTGTATATATATATATATTATTATGTTTTATTTACTAATTATTAAATTGCAAGTAAAATTAAAAATATACGTAATTTATTTTGATTTTTTTTTTGAACCAGACTGTATATTACCATAATTAGTTATTAAATGAAAAAATAGAAAATTATTTTAGCTTACGATTTTTTTGATTGTCGCAATAATACAATATATGTTTTAGCACTGTAATACGGAATACATTTCTCGTTAAAGAAAAAAAGAACACAATACAGTATCACAATATTACAGTACTGGATACTGTAAAAAACTTTTATTATGCGAATTAAAAAAAAATGTTTTTTTTTTTTTTCAAAATTGTGCATACTATGGACAAATGCGGTAGGCGGTTTTTAACTAACTGGCGATATAATAGAATTGACAAGGTATTATATGGATTTGGGCTAAGCTAATTAGTAAAAAACCGATGGCATGACCGTTTTGATCATCTTACTCTAGCCATTTATCAACGTCCTGCGCTATGCCGAAAAAATTGTATTAACAATATATAATATTAACAATCTCCGAATAATACAGTAATCAGTCGAAATATTTATAGTAAATGGTGCATGCCATATTATCTTTACCATATTATCAATCATACTCTGTACAAATATCGCATTTTTTTCTGGGCTCTAGTTATTTTAACGTCAAGTGGTCATGTATTACTATTGTCTTGTGAATTTGAATTGTGTTTATATCATACTTGTGAATTTGAATTGCGTTTATATCACATTTTTTTAATTAAGAAATTTTTTCGCACGTTAGAATTCCAGATAGTCAAAATTCACGGTTCGTAAACAATAAAATGTTTATAATTAACTCTGCTGTATTCCTATTCGCCTTAATAATTGTTCGAAGTGTCTGCCTGTTTAGGCCAACAGAATTTGTGTATGTAATATCACATGATCAATATAGATCGGATAATTGGATCGGATTCATTATATTTATATTTATTAACGTTAAGTAATTCTTTAAAAAGTGGATTACTAGATTATCATTATAAAATGTAAATTTTCACATTGTAACTTATTTGTTGTCCGAAGCGTTAAGCGAATGACCTTTTACTACTAAACAAAGTACAGTCACAGGAATTCTGTCTGTCAAGCTAATGAAATTTTGTGCGATACAATATTGTAGTATATCTAAATACCATACAATTACTAACGATAATTACAAATGTATTAAGAGATACTGTATAAAGTATAGTTTTTAAAAAGTTTAAAAATAAGATTATATAAATAAATTTAATTAAACTAATTTTAAATGTTGTCTGCCGCATGAAAAAATATGGAAATAATTTTCAAATGAAATACCGATCAAAGAAGGATCGAATACAGACTATTTCAAGGAGCAGAGAAAGATATGCGTTTCCGAAGACCATAATAATGTCAGATTATCAGAAATAAGTAACACAGTAAACATAACCATGAATAGATGCATAGGTTGGATCATTTCTACCGGTGTGTATCTGTTCAAGAATGAGTAATCTCGCTTGATCCGGGTTTCGCGCATTTATGACTGGTTACAATCTCAACGGTCAATTAATCAAGTGGGGTAATGGTGATATTGACAAAGTATTTAAATTATCCAAGAAATACGACAAATTACAAAGTAAAGTAACAGGGACCTTGCTTTGGGAAGAACAAATGAAAGAAAGAGATTTCGATAAAGAAAAAAGATATTGCGAATCATACAACGAATCCATAATTTGATTGATGAGTGACATCATCAGTTGGCTCATTGGTTATGTCAGAACTTTTACCCAAGTGTGAATCTTCGAGGATGGTTTTAAAAAATAAGCCAAAGATTCGATCAAAGACTGCTCGTGCGATGCTGACCTGGTCTCATTTCAGGTTTCGGATGTTTCTTTTACATCACAAGGCAAGGGAGTTTAGCGTGTGGGAATTGCGGATTCATAAAAAACGATCTTGGTGGATCCAAGACGTTCAAATGTGATTCATGTGATTAGGAAATCGACAGGGTGGTGCCCGAAATAGCAGAATTTTAGTTGCTATTTTCGGCCGCAGAGGGGCGCTCTTTATGCATCACTCATGCGGCACCCTTACAGCACCTGTGCCGCACGAGTGACACCTGAGCCTGACTTTGAGACTTGAACCTATATGGGATTTGATTTGAATAGTAAAGAATTACTTTATTTATTTTTATTGGATTCAATTTCAAGGGACCATGCTTACAGTAGTCATTCATGCAAATGTAAGTTTGATTGCCCAGGAATTTTAATACAACGTACTGTGTACGTCACAATACTGACATATTACAGTACGTATATGAAATTAGATAGACTACTATTAGATGTGATTCCAGTAATGCGACGAAGACTATGCAATTAATTAGAGTCTATTTCGTTGTCTTAAACCTTTCCATCTCGTGTTGAAGGTAAAAAGGTAAATTATCTGATCTGTGCTTTTTATTTTTGCATTTTCTTCGAGACCCAACACTCCAACAACTTGACAACAAACGATATTATTTATTACTATCAAACTGTAAATTCGTGTAAGAATACGATGCACTACTTCCTTTCTTGCTACACATTAATTTTCTTTCTCCTTTTCGCATTTTCTAATTTTCAAAATCATTCAATTAAACATAAAATACGATCTCGCTGCAACTTCATTCTCTTTACAATTATTTTGTTCTTGCTTGTCCCCACAGAAATTACATTATGCCATGCCGTAAATCCGATAGTAATAAAAGGCACAAAATTTTTCGATTCCGTAACGAAACAACAATTTTTTGTTAGAGGCGTTGCGTATCAGCCACGTGGACTGGGAAAAGAGTACGTCGATCCATTGGCACAGGTGGATGCATGTAGGCGTGACGTGAAATTGATGAAGGAATTGGGTCTTAACGTCATTAGAGTCTATGAGGTGAGAGATCCACTTGAAGGAAGCGAACGGACGAACATAGCATTTCAAAATCTATAAAATTTGCGTCTTTTGACATCCATATAGGTCGATATTGACAAGAATCATGATCAATGCATGTCCTTGTTTTCTGATGCTGGAATATACCTAATCCTCGACTTGGCTACCGTAAAAGCCAGTATCAATCGTGATAACCCACAGTGGACTCTCCTTTTATTCGACCAATACAAGCGCACCATCGATGTATTTTCCAGATATACCAACACCCTAGCATTCTTTGCCGGGAACGAAGTTACCAATAATAAATCCAACGCTCAGGCAAGTCCGTTTGTCAAGGCGGCATTGAGGGACATAAAGATGTACATTAAAGATAATGTGATGAAGAATGGTGGAAGATATGTACCGGTAGGATACTCAAGTAACGACGACCCAGATATAAGGGTTTCGTTGGCAGAGTATTTCAACTGTGGAAATGATGACGAACGAGTAATTATTATCATAATCACCTTCATTTCTATTTATCGTAGCGATGTATAAATTCAACACATCGTATTATATTTATATGATGCACAGGCCGACTTTTTTGGAATGAACTTGTATGAATGGTGTGGTGAAAGTTCGTTTGAACAATCCGGTTATGCAGAACGAACTCGAGAATTCTCTTCGTACTCAATTCCCGTAATACTTTCGGAATATGGTTGTAATCTAGTTGCCCCACGTCCGTTCACCGAGGTCACTGCAATATACGGTCCCCAAATGACTTCTGTATGGTCCGGCGGAATCGCTTACGAATGGTCACAAGAAATAAATTCATACGGTTTGGTTGTGATCGATGGTCAGGATGGAAATGTTAAGAAATTACAAGATTTCTACAATCTCAAATACCAACTCGAACAAGCGACTGGAAATTTTAATAGATTTGAGAAAATATTGAATATGGATGAATACCGACCAATCAACATTGAGCCTTCAAAGTGTCCGAATAATTCGGATACATGGAATGCAAGTATCATTCTTCCGCAAACGCCACGACGAGAGGTTTGTGAATGTATGGTGTCAACCCTCACCTGTGTCACATCCTCAAAAATCCCCAACGATCGTGAATTAATGAACAAACAATTTAAAATGGTGTGTGGGTTGGTGGACTGTGCGAATATTAGTGCAGACGGCAGGAACGGTAAATATGGAAATTATAGTTATTGCGGCCCGGAAGATAAATTATCGTACATATTCGATGCTTATTACAAAGCACAAAATGAACATAAGGAAGCTTGCGAGTTTAAAGGTGCGGCTAAGATCACTACGCCGACGAAAAGCAGTTTAGAGGAGTGTGCGAACAAGACGAGAAGTGGGGTCGCATCTTTGGTCGTTGAGAAAGCAGGAGGTAGGATAAAAAAGGTGCAAGGGCTATCGATCCTGGTCTGGTTTATCTTTTCTGTTTGGGGATATTTTTGATATTCCCGAAATATATCGGAATCGACCAATATGTTCAATGCAGGTTGTTTACAATGAATATACAGTACAGCACACAAATTTATTATTATACGTATTTGTTTAAATGCTAGGTGCTGTACAATATTGTATACAGCATGTACAGTATATAATCGATAATATACAGTATTTATAAGAATAATTCTATACGTACACCTGACTTTGCACCTTTCAAAAAAAAAATTTTTTTTTTTTGACATACAATCGAAAAGACGACTGTTATTACGGTATATACATACATATCTCCTCATATCGAGTGCGACTGTATTCTCCTAGGATAATTTTTTTTTTTTTTTAAAAAAAAAAAACAGACAGGCATCTTGATCTAAAATATCTATTTACATAAATAAAAAAATAAAAATAAAAAATAAATATTCTGCAATTCTTTCCTACAAGGAGTTTTTTCAGTCTTTTTTCCCTAATCGAGGAAGTACGAGATCACAAATCGTTCATATGTTCATCCTATTGTGTGTGTAAAGAGACACAATATCTTCTTTGATGGAAAAATATCCATTCCACTCACAATCCTCGGGCGCAGCCGATGACAATTTCATTTCAACCAAATTGATGATAATAGCTTTTGTCGAATGTGTCATACGTGTCAATCCTTAGGGAGTCTTGCAAAATTTGAAGAGAGTATAGCTCATCGTTAAAATACTCTTCTAAAAGAGCACTTATCAAAACATTTATGGATCAGGTTTGGATGTTGCAAGAGTTCTAACGAATCAAATCACGATAATTGGTGGGAATCGATATACGATGATGAACATTTGAATTGAAACTGTCATGGTTTGACGAAACAAACGGACAAGACATCATGAATGTTTAGGAATGTTGAAACATGCATTTGTCTCTTTATATCAATATTAGAATTCATTGTGGGTAATTTGTGCGTTTCGCCCGTGATCAGAATATACCCGTATACCGCTAACACAACATGCAGATGAATGAAGCCCCTGAAATTTGTAGTACGCACACTACATCCTGTACAGGTGTTTACTGTATATATACACATAATGAATAAATATGATACTGTGTGATATTTCATTCGTAAGTACGACACTACCACGGGATAACGGTAGTAGCGCATTAACGTATTATTGTTCCTTCTAAGATACCATGGATACGTACCATTTTTGCGCCTAAACGAACGCAATGTTACAATTTCTAAATTGGGTGTCACAGATGATGATTTATTTTAGCATTGTTATCCATCAAAAACAATGCTTCGTCCTATTATCTGGTGTCATACTACCGCTAATTAGAAATATCTATTATTCGATGTCCGACGTATATGATTATAAATAAAATAAATTGTATTCCTGAAAATGTTATGCATTCGTTCTGTAGAAGTATAAATATACCCCTACCAAAGAAGCGAGGACCATTTGACGTTTGTTAGACAGCATTTCGGTCACGATATAATTTTCTTATGGGTTTGAAGACTCGAAAAATTTATTACTCGATTCGAGACATCTAATTTATTTTCAAGTGGATCTGTTAATAAAATACATGCAGAGATATTTATCTAATTTATTTTTTTTAATACACACACACACATTTATTTCCTTTTTACGAACTCAAAAGTCAAATACTATTTTATTTAAAATTGCTTCACAAAACTTTTACTTGTGCACACCGTACAAAATTGTTTGAAAATGCACTCACACAAGGGAGTTTCATTAATCCTCCACAAAAAAGTTTCACCACCGACCTCTCCTTCCTCACCCTCCTCGCCTTTCTCTTCTCACAAATCTACTTCACTTGTTTGTTATAAATCAAGTCAAGAGTACGTCGGTCCTCACGCAGTATCTCCGGTCGTGGACTACGTGCGTTGGCTAGATCTATGCGAGTCGTCTGATGAGTCCGCTGAAATCTTTGCGATATTTCCTCACAAAGTTATATTGAGAATTTTCCAAGAACTGGATTTTACCGATATTGTCTCATTTTCTATGGTAATTTGGCTATCAATATCGATCATGATCATTGCGTCGTTTGCTTTTTCCAAATGTTAATATCTTCAATTTCACCATAGGTCAGCAGAAGATGCATGACTCACACTCTGGACCCTTCGTTCTGGCATTCCATCCTAAAACGAGATTGGAAAGACTGGCGAGGATATTCGGAGGTATTGAAACAATATAATATTGCTCCGATATGGAACGGGAATATCAAATCCACCGAGGAAGATACTTTGGCTTTAAAACATGCCTACTTGACATTAGGTTAGTACGTTAAACGAGCTTGAGAGTCAAAAATGTGGGAACGATCGTCTTACATTTATTCATTTACCCTTTATAGCCACATGTAAACTCCCACTAGCCGAACGAAGAGATTATCTGGATTCAACGGGTAGTTGGTGGGCAAAAGATGAATTCAAGTTGGTCAACTCAAAAGAAAGGTATAATATATTTTTGATTATTATCATTCTTTTGTAATAAATACCAGTCTTTCTAAATTACATTATTATTTACTTTTATTTACCATAATCAGTGAATTTGGTAAAGTCATCAAACAGAAAACAAAATTATTCCAGGTATGAGAAAATATTTCGTTGCCAAAATTTCTCATTAAAGTTTTGTTTACTAATTTCTTGTCTAATCGTTTTTGATTATAGTGCTCAGTGTCATTGAAATATCCCCCGAAGGGCTGGTATGACGTTGTGTGGCGAATGAAAATTGATAAACTCGTGGGCGAACCAGAGTTTGGATTTAATACTACGGTCGAAACGATGGTATGAATCAATGCACTACGCTGGGATTGTGTTTTTAATAAAATCTTACCATTTTTTTTTTTTCTTTTTAGGACATTCGAAACAAAAATCCTTCCAACGATCGCTATAGCTATGTCGCTACGAAACAAGATTTCGCACAGGTGATCGGAAAGGGATGGTTCTATTTCGTACTTCCTTACGCAGTACTTGTGGAGCCCTACAAGACCGTGCGTAACCTGAAGGAAATGAAGTTACGTAAGGCGATGAAAATTAATTTTGAGTTCACGACCTTTAATAAAAATGCGCAGTGGGATTTTGGTTCAGGACACGGATTTGTGAGTACCAACAATTGTGAAACTTTTTAAAGAATATTCCCTTTTATGAATTCCTTTTAATCATTTTACCTTTTTTTTTACAAAGACAATCGATTACGTAGCCATAAGGCCTCATATCCATTATAACATACCACGCGCAAATCGATATTCATCGGGTAGCAACTCTTCACATAGTAGCTCGGACTCAGGTATTGCATGGAAATCTGCGAGGATGATACAGAGAAGAGCAAGTGTGATTTTAGGACCAAGATGGTCTGCCAAATTGCTTGATTAGAGAAAATTTCAATTCTATTATTTATACAACGGGAACATGTTGTTCTCTTTATTTTCACTTGTATTTACTTCACCCCCCATCATTGTAACCTTGTAATATATTTCGTTTCTAATTATAATACACTAAAAAAAGTACTTAATAACATCATATAAAATATACAGTAATAAGAAAGGGAGGAGGGACCCTTTACAGTATTCGTAATGTTATTTTCACGTGACTTGTTCAAGTGCGTGAGCTGGAAAATAATATAATTTTTATACAGTAGTACCATATTACTTTAATTAATTAAATATTTATCGAAAGATTTTTTTTCTCCAAATAATTCAACGTTTTTTTTTATAAATGTCAAAATAAAAATACATATTTTTTATGTGTGATACATTATACAAAAAAACCCCCACTTGACTTTATCTTGTATCATAATATCAATAAAAGTGATGAAACTGTAATTATCTTTATAACAATATTAAATGATTTAAAGACCTATGATTATTTATAGATTGAAAATTTTTTAAAAAAATCACCTTTGATATTTTTATTATAACTTTATAAAAAATTATTTAAATAGTATAAAAATTTTAATATACTGTATATCCTTTAAAACTTAAAGAATAAGGTTATTTAAAGATTTTTCATAAAATATATTATTAAATTTTTTTTAAATTTAAATTTATTATCTGAAAAAAATAATTAACTAAAACTTTAATTATTTTTTAATATAAATTTAATATGGATGGAAATTGTAATTTTTAGATTAAAAAAATAATTAAAATATTATTTTTATTTGTTACATAATAAAAATTTATAAATATATTTTTTATAACTCAAAGAAAATTTTTACTTAAAATAACTTATTAAAATTTTTTTGGAATATTTTTTTTAAATAATAATTTTTAAAATAATTTTTAACTTATGAATAAATTTTACTTCTTTAAATTTAAAATAAAATAAAAATTAAATTAATACATATTTTTCAATAAATTTTATATCTTTTTTTTCTTACATTTTAAAGAATATTTTTGTAAAATTTCATAAAATTTAAATAATTATTTATTGAATTATAATTTAAAATATTAATTGAAAAAAAAAAATGTTTTTTTTTTGTACTGAACTGTATATTATATTTACTTAAATTATATTTAAACACTTTTTTTGACATAATACAATTAGTGATTATGCACTCGCATCGCAAAAAAATTACTAAATTAGAAAACCCAAAATTTCTTTGTGGAAAAAAAAAGCAAAGGACCTTGGAGAGTTCTCTCTTTCCAAGGATCCAATAATCAACCATGAACACGTTCTTCTCAACATACTTATTACCAATATTAAAAGCCCTCAAGCTATTATTATCTACAGAAACATTAAAAAAAACAAAATTTTTGCTTCTACTTCTGCCCAATCAAGTCGCCTTCCCAGGCTGGAAAACTGTCCAAAAGTATAAATAACATCAGTTTGCTCCCTACAAAGTGAACTAGAAAGTATTAACATTATTAGCGCTACTTTTGAGAAACATCAAAGAATCAGATTATCACCTATACTTACACATGTTACTATAACTCTATCAAAACCAATGCTCCTGGAAGACCTAAATTCTTTCATAAAATTTCGGCATACCTTCAAATTAACAGATAAGGATAGAACAGACATCATGAAAAAGGTTATAAAGCATGATCTCAACTATAGCTTGCACATCTCTTGAAAAAAACTCAATATCAACACCTCTAAAGAAAATAAAACTTTTACTCTTAAAAGAAAAACCAGGATGCCCTTATCCCTACCAAACACATCTGCACCCATAGAGAAAATGATTGATAACAATAGTATATAGCCTGATTCTTCTTCTGTGACAATATCTGCATTGACCCCTGAACCTATACCACCTTTAGACAATAACCTAATATACAATCTATACGAATATGAAACAAGCAATGCATGTACCCCTGTATCTTCACATGAGAATAACACCAACTTGAGCAATACACAAAATACCACTGAAATGGAAATTGATAATCTCTTTACAGAAATCGAGCCACATATGCAACTCACAACTAGCCCCTCCTCCTGGACTGATGAAACTGAAGCCATACTATCAATTACAACAAATAGTCAACCAAACAGTGACATTCGCAGCAGCACCCCAAAAAATAAACAAATCAAGATTCTTATATACTGCGAAAAGATAAACGTCTGTCCCAGAACTCCAGAAGATATACTCAAACTCTTTATCAAGTTCAGGGACAATTCTAAAGGTTCCTTCAGATTATCATTAAAAGCTATCTTCTCAAAAATTGATCATAAAGATAGGAACTTTTTCAGAACCTTCATAAAAAGTAAATTAATTAAAGAACAATACCAATGAGAATACAAAAACATTGAGAACAAGTTCAAAGCAAACTATTTTAAAGCAAATAATATTGGGTATATTATCAGAACCACCAGAAAAAAAATCCATGTAATCATCAATAAAGCACTTTTTGCAGTTTACCTCAGATCAACTGACCTTACAAAATTAAAATTCTAGCAAGTCACCTAACTCTTAAAGTATGGCTTCAACTTCTTCTTTGATCCTGTATTAACCAAAATAAACTATCAAGAATTATACAACAAGTGCGAAGAATACATCAAAATGAAATTGCCCAATCTTCCTGAGTCCCCTAGTAACATTTCAGCCTCAATTAAAATTAAACTACCCAAAGCCATTTCCATCACCTTACCAAAATTCATTAGAGAAGTGGTAGAGTGTCTTAGAGCATATTATAACTTCAATCTACTTCCATCTTTTTTCTTCATACAAAGGTCAGACCTCCCTGTAACAAATCTATAGAATGTCCGACCGAAATCCCGATTTTCTTCGAAAAGTCAGAAGACAACCTCTCAAACGCTTTTAAGAAACTATAGGTATTTTGAGTAGAGAAACATCTTTTATTAAGG